TACATATAGCATGGTATAGCTTCAAGTGCGAATTCGACTCGTTCTTGACGGATTTTTATCTTTATATCGTTAGGTAAGTTTATTCATATACATACATTTTTCTGAATTTTTTACACTAGACGATAAGTATAAATAAAAGAACAATTAATTAAATACGGAACGTTAGATATCTCTTGTACGTATTGGGTATAATAAACGATTTAACCCCAGTGCTCCAACTAACACACACCCTAATGTATTTTACGATATGGTGCCCGTTTTATTTGTGACTAGCGACTCACCCTCGCTTCGCTCGGATTTGTCCCTAAGTTGATTCCCCATACAAATTTTCATCCCCATTGTCACGACCTGAAAGGATGATTTCCGGGATAATTTCATCTAAATCGGTTCAGTAGATCCAGAGATTACTCCTTACAACGTCACAAACTCATCAACTCACAAACTTTACGTCTTTTTATTTTATTATTTTATTTTTATTTTTTATAATATTAGCATAGACTAGCTCGCTCGTTTTACGAAACTCGACACTTTTATCCTGACATTATGTTACTGCTAATATCTTAATTAATTTGCCATACAAAATATACCGTGTATGTCAACAAATTTTTTTTCTCATATTGTAGGTTATAACCTATTAACCTAACGTATTAAACCTTTTCAATAATATGATATTACGAGCAGCCTGTAATCTTATTAAACGATAACATATATTATTCTTTAATATATAGACTATACAATATAAAAAACATATCGGACTGTGAGAGAAATGAGCGCGTTCAAACAAACTAGAAAAGGGTTCAGTTTTGTAAAATGCTAGTTTTAGCCCGCGGTGCCGTCTGCATACTATCGAGGCTAGAATAAAAGTTAGCTTACGTCCGTCCCCATAATGTACTCTATTCTTGTCGAATTTTATCAAAATCTGCTCAGTGGTTGAAGCTTTTAAATGTAACTGACATTCAGAGCTAATTTATTGACCAAGCGAGCGAAGCGTCTCTGCGTCAAGTCTGTCAAAATTTCCTTTCCTCTGTCAGTTTGTTGGTACTTCTCTACAGGTCGTATTTTACCATCGATCTGGACGATACTTTTTATACATATTTTATGACTTTATAGAATAGTCGGGGATTTTTGATTGGAGGGCACTTCCTCCAAAAAGAGGACTACTGAATATCTCCGCCTTTTGAGATCCGATTTCGATAGTTCTTTTTTATTTGAAAGATTTACTTTAAGTTGATCTTATAAAAATTTGGCGAAGATCTGATCGGATCTTCGGCGTGATGAGGAGAATAGCTCCTCAAAATGCAGTCTATGCTTGCGAGGTATTCTGTTCGCAGAAGTACCAGTAATATTACATAGATCAGTAAAGATAAGAAAGGGTATTGATTAGTGAAGGTGTTATATTTAGAAGCCTCGCTTAGGGACGACAGGATTAGACGTGTATAGCTTTAAGTGGAAAACCTTTAAAGTGCTCACATTGGTGTTGTTGACCTTTTGGATAACTCTTGTGAGTAATTAAATAGTCAATGGACTAGTTATAGTTTCGTTATTAACAAATTAAAATATACTACATTTTTAAGAAGAATCGATTTGGAAAATGTCTTATCGATTCAACGGTATTCAAATATGTAAAATAAATGAAGTTAAACTTTAGTCAATCACGTATTTACAAGCTTTTTTGAATTGTCAAAGTTTCTACTGAGAAGACTTTTTGACGATAGTTGCTCATTTAAATGATAAGTTGCAGTATTTTAATACAATATTAAAATTAACCCGCGTATGAGTCACTTTATCTTAATTCCACACACTCTTGAACAGAGCAATGTGCTTAACTCAGTAATATATTTTTAACATCAGCTTAAAATGATTTAAAACGTTACGTCTAAAACAGCTTGTAAAATTTTATTATGTACTAGCGACTTGTATAACTACTACCTAGTAATTACGTTTTAACGTTTACTATTGATTTCTCAGAGATGAGATATACTTTCGTACTAAAAAGTATATTACCAGCTATCATCATAAGAAATTTCATCATCATAAAAACTGACTTCAAACAAAAGCACTAAAAAGTAAAAAATAACTGATTGGTAGTTTTCATTTACTATACATACCTAATCAAATATTTTCGAAGTCGGTGTGCTTTGCTTTGTATGGGCTGGCACCGATTTCGAAAATATTTGATTAGGTATGTATTTAATAGGTAGGCTCTAATTACTTAGCCAAAGTCAAAGTCGAATTGAGAACCTTTTTGAAGTCGGTTGAAAATCCCTCCAATGGTTTCCATGATGCGGTAATAAACAGACAGACAGACAAAAATTCTAAAAACTATAGATTCGGCCTCTGTATCGATAATCATGTCTATTTCAATAAGATTTTCAAATAAATATTCAATGTACTTACAGATTCGGCTTAGTTATAATTTTATTATAGGTATGTATAGACTACGCTCGGGTGCGACCCTAGATACGTTTTAAATATATATAAACTAGCGGCTCACCCTCGCTTTGCTCGGGTTTGTCGCTGGGTACGTTATAAATAGATATATATAGTTATTAGCCAGCGTTAGTTATATAAATTTTAATTTTTTTTGTTAATAATATTGACAAATATTGACATTAATATTTATACGATACTAACGTCACTCATTTTTTTGCCTTCCAGGACCTCTCCATTAACACTTAAACTTTATGGTATGGTATTAAAGTTCAAGTTGACTTTTAAGTATTATTACGAATTTTGTATGGGAGTATAGAAAAATGTTATTTTTAGACTTTTTCACGCAATTTTTTAAATTTATCTCTCCGTAAGAACCATCCTCGTACTTCAAGGAATATTCTAAAAAAAAAAGAATTAGCGAAATCGGTTCAGCCGTTCAAGCGTGATGGCGTGACCAAGGGAAATAGGGATTCATTTTTATATATATAGAGAGTAATTGCGAGTGTACTTTAGAAGTACGATTTATGCTACTGCAGATTTTTCTGTAGGCCTTTTTAAGACCTACAATTTTCTAGTATATTTTTTTAATGTATTTCTTAAGGTTTAGACAGCGTTAGCTATGTTTTCTAAGGACGACTAGACAGAATTATTTATGATGTTTACCTAAGGATATGAAAGATTTTCATGTAGTAAAAGGTATCCTAAATATTGATACGAGTAATAAGTTATCACTACACAAAATTTTGTTAGAATCGGTTCAGTACTTTTTGCGTGAAACGCGCAAGTACAAATATATAAAAATTTGAATAACTATTGTTTTGGGTATATACCTATTCTGTACATAATACGGTACAGTCATTGTTTTTAAAAAATATTTCATGTACAGATTTCGCTAAGTTACTATTTTATTATACACTAGCGACCGACACTCGCTTCACTCGGGTTCGTCCCTAGCTTGATTCCCCATACAAACTTTCATTCCCATTTTCACCCCCCTATACAGGGATGTTTTCCGGGATAAAAAGTATCCTATGTCCTTCCCATGGTCTCACTATCTTCTTACCAAATTTCATCTAAATCGGTTCAGTAGATCCAGACATTACCCCCTACAACGTCACAAACTCACAAACTTTACCTCTTTATAATATTAGTATAGATAAGTATAGATATGTAATATGCATACATGCGATACTCAGGACCATAAAGGATTTATTCACCTTTTCGAGACCAATAGACTTAAATATAGTCTAATAGTGTGGTCTGGGCGTTACAAGCTTATCACTATTTCTTGTATTTACTAAGTGTGACTTTTGTGATTTCGCCCTTTGTTCTTAGGTTTGAAGAACTATAAAATTATTTGTTTTGTTGCAGTAATAGAGGAGTTTTAATGTATTCTAGAATGTTGTTGCTAAACTGCAGTAAATAGGTATTAGGTAGTTATAATTTCATACATATGAAGACAATATATACCAATCTTCTTAAACCTATGTAATTATGCTTGAAAATCTATACATATAATAAAATTCTGTGTCGAATCGGTGCATAAAATATTTTTTTGAAAATCTTATTGAAATAGACATTATTATCGATATAGAGGCTATAGTTTTTAGAATTTTTGTCTGACTCTGTGACCTCATCAGGGAAAAACTACTGGAGAGATTTTGATGAAATTTGGTATGATGATAGCTGGTTATCGGGGTCAACATATAGGATACCTTTTTTGCGGAAAAATATCTCATCTCTGAGAAATCCGTTAAAAAGTATCTAGAGATGAACCCGAGCGAGGCGAGTGTAAGTCGCTAGTAAATAAATATAAAGCCAAAAAATTAATTATAGGTTCGTACACCCCGTTTGAAAATTGCTTATTTCATTTTTTATTATTTTTTTTATATTATATGAAAGGTGAATATTAAATGTTTTTTTTCCTAGCGTTAAGTTAATAAAAAATGGAAATGAAACTTTTTAGATGTACACAAAAAACTTTATTAAAAAAACTATTTTTAATTGCATGATCCGGTTATAGCGAGAACGATCTAGGTATAAAAAAAAAATAATAACTATAGTTTGTTTTTAATTATTTATTTCCAATTAATATATTATTGTAGAAAACCGAAAAAAACACGCTATTGACCATCTTTAATGTATGGGACTCATCAAAACGAGGCAAATGAGCTCAGACTCGATTTTAATTGTAGTCATTGAAGAGTAATTCCACTTTCAATACTTCCATGTTCGATACCAAACTATCGCTACCCGAATTTCATAAAGCTAAAAAGTTTCAAATAGATACGACATTTAGATACATAGAAGAAAGATTAAATTTATTTTTAAATAAAACTCTGAATTTTGTTTCCCGACGCTTCGAATGCTTTACAGAAAATACAGTCATGGGAGACTTAAGTTTTTAAACTTTACTCCAAAGTTATTACTTACGGTACGTAATTATTACAGACGGTTTTAAAATATTTTCTTTGCATAAACACATATGAAGCGTAATCAACACACACGATCCTCTCCTTTTGAAATCTGTTATCAAAAGAACTTTTTGTCATTTCCAGTGAACAGAAATGGCGTCGGTGTGGAAACGACTGCAGCGAGTGAACAAACGCGCCGCAAAATTCCAGTACACTGCATCGTACCACCGCATTGACGTCGACATAACGCCCAAATGGTAATACAATTTTGTTCATACTCATTAGTTACAGTTGGCAAGGATTCTGTAAAGTCTGAAATCTGATTTGTTCGTGTCTAGAATTTCTATTGAAATAGTAATGTTGCAGTAGTAGTATATAGTAGTAGACGTTAACTAAGTTTTTGTTAAATTTCAGTAAAAAATTGTTGTCGTTTTTTCGCCTTAATGCTTATTTGCTCAAACGACCAACACTTGTTGACTTTACGTTCGAGTGTTTTTTCTTCTGTTTTAAAAACAAGTTTTAATTTCTAAAGTTTATATACATACATATATATTGATAGAATACATTTTTCTTGGCTTTATTAAATTAAAATGTGTATTTAATACCAATAGAATTGGTTACAGCTAGTATTTATAACTTATAAGTTAATAATTTTGTATTAAAAACTCTTTCGGTAAATTGGTCGTTTGAACAAATGAGCACTGAGCGCGACAGTTTGTGTTTGGTTGTAAATCTACAACATAAATATACAAAATAGTATAAAATAAACATCTGTCACGTACTACTACATACAGAGCATTTTTTTTCGTTGTTCTATTTTGGACTAACTTGGAAACAAAAAAGTACAATGATATGAATACACGTTGTTTATATTGAAGTAAATAACTAATGACACGTGCGTGTCGGTGGATTTACGTCACTTGCTTACATAAACAAACAAAAAACTTAATCGTTGCAAATTCAATGAAACTTTAATAAACATTACTATTAAAATTATACTATTAGCCCTTATTAAGATAGGAAAAATAGGAAAAACCAAAGGTTAGAAGATGAAAATTACTCAAAAAAAAGAGTGACTAGCATCATAATATCTAAACTTAAAAATATTATCGAAAAGGGATAATTATGATAGTTTTTAAAGGCTATGAAATGTAAGTTTCTTCAAATATAGGTATTCCTAAATTCGTATCATTCCGAAAGTAATCTTATTAGATTTTTGGCAAAGAATGATATTAAATAACCAGATTCGTCTGTAACATTTTTCATTATATTATGTACAATATACATATTTGCATTATATTATGTCACTACGCAATACTATCCCAATGTCCTTACATGCGCTTCACGTAGCTTCATTTACAATTTATTTCAAAGCCGCACTAATCGTGTTAAATCATATTAGAACTATAAGTCCTGAAGGCTTTCGCGGTGTAGTGGAATAGTATTCGTACTACCGATGGAGATCGTGGGTTCGATTCGTGAACGTGGAAAAAATATTTAAAAAAAAAATATTTGTTTTATGAGACTTGCTCTGATTTGGTTAACACAAATCATGTCATACATCTTATTAAATTTATACTACAAAGGAAAAACGTATGAGAAAAGTCTGTAAGCCGCTCAATTTTTTTTAACACTTTTTACCTTGAAATAAAACTATTTTTGGAGACAGAACATAATACATGAGTCATTCCCATAACCAAGGTTGCTGAATAGCATTTCAAACGACGGGAGTCGAACATTAAAATAGAAAAACAATCCGTAAATATATTAAAATAAAACAACTATTTTTGCGGGTTAATTTTATTTTCAAAAACAATCATGTTTCGAAGGCTACTACTTTGACCATTCCTTAGCCTAATTCATATGTAATTACGTGATGGATTTGTCAACATCATACACATGTACTGTAATAAAAAAAAAAATAAAAAAAAATAAAGGGGAAATAAGTATGACATTTTTATGCTACCGTTTTGCAAAAAACTTTTGAGACGTCTAAAGCCTTAGTCCATTCCGTGATCATGATTTCTGTAAACCATTCGAAACGTTTCGGAACCAATAATTCAAATAAACCGCGAAAAATGCCGAAAAGATAGTTTTTTTTTTTAAATTCTTTCAATTTTTAATAATATATAATTCTATATGTGTTATTGTAGATGTAAATATGTACGTATAACTAGATATTTTTGTTTGAAGGAAACCCAACAAGTTGAGTATTGTATGGACGCGACGGTCGCGACGCGTCATCACAGAGCCCTTGGAATGGGAGCCCTCGCTGAAGGACCCTTTGAAGTAAGTGAACTATCCACTTGAATAATTTAAACCGTGTCGCATGTAGCTTTATTTGAAAAGCTAAGTTAAATACATGCGTTTTCAGCATACTAATTTCTACGAATTTCAGCTTATGTGTATTTTCTTGTTATCTTGAATGTGTTTTGTTTGATTTAAAAATTTATAATTTTTTTAAATAAGTAATTCTGTAAGATCAACGTATGAAATATTTTATTAAAACTAGCGACTTACCCTCGCTTCGCTCTCTAGTTTCGTTTTAATTTCTTAAGCGGAACCCTAATTATTTTTCTAAAATTAAAGTAGCCTACGTTACTCCTTATAATATCATTTATCTGCCAGTGAAAGTCCCGTTAAAATCAGTCAAGCAGTTTCGGAGACTAGCCGAAACAAACAGACAGACAGACATATAGACAGTATAGATAAATACCGTAATAATTTCATATGCATTTAGTAAAAAATGTTATTTTAACATTACAAACAGACACTTCTATTGTATTTATTTGTATAGATTGATAAATATGATATTGATAGCTTGTTTATTTGAATACAAAAAGAATATGAATATGCTGAAATATTTATGAAATGCTGTAATTTTATTATCGTTACACTTTATGATACCCTATGAATACCTTACGGTTTTCATACACATATAGGCTTATTTGGTAAGGTTTCTTTTTGTATTATTTCTGATCGTGTATTGATTTTAATTGATGAAGCGAAAGAAAACTTTAATCTATGGTTTACACAAAAATACAACATACTAGCTGTTTTTATGTAGCATCATCGCCAAAAGTAGCCTATGTGTTATTCTGATGTATGAGTTATATTATTGTAGTTTCATTAAAATACGTTCAGTTGTTTTTGTGTGAAAGAGTAACAAACATCTATACATCTATACATCCAAACATTCATACATCCTCACAAATCTTCGTAAATTTGTGATATTAGTATAAAAGATAGTATCAATTCTATTTCTAGATATATCAATGTCTATATGTGAACTAAATTTTATTTAAATCTATCTATCCTTTTTAGCGTTTAGGAGTAACATACACACAAGCATACAGACTTTCGTATACATAATAGTAGTATGATTATGATTTCATATCGAGTTTATATATTTATTATTATTAGGGGTTCGGTTATATTCACTGTGCCAGAGAACCAAACCGTCGCAGTGACGTTGTTCCGCAACCCGCGCACCAACGAGCTCGAGGACAAGGACTGGACATTCGTTTTGGAGGACGTGAGTTTGTCTTGACCTAAATACATATGTTTATAGTTTAATTGTCTTAAAATCTGTAGCCAGTGTTTATCTCTGACTGTGACACAACGCTGTATTTTAAGAGTTCTCTTCTTGAAAGAAAACTAGCTGTTAATTTAACTTATACATATATAAAATTTCCCTTATTCTTTAAATAAAGTAAATGATCTGATTATACACAGTACCTATCCACAAAATGTAACAAGTTTATAATGACTTTTGACACATCTAAAATCTTAGTCTCTTCCGCGACTATGATTGCTGTAAAGCATTCGAAACGTCGGGAACCAAAAATCAAATATAAAAAAAAAACGGAAAAGATAATTTTATTTAAAATATCAAGTACTAGCCACTCATGCTCCCTTCGGTCGGGTTCGTCCCTAAGTTGATTCTCCATACAAATTTCATCCCTATTTACACCCCTTTAAGGGATGATTTCCGGGATAAAAAGTATCCTGTATCCGCCCCAGGGTCATAAACTATCTTCCCAAATTTCGTCTAAATCGGTTCAGTAGCTCCAGAGATTACCCCCTACAACCTCACAAACTCACAAACTTTACCTTTTTATAATATTAGTACAGATTCGCGTAAATCTAAGTAATATAAAATAAATAAATAAATATGTTGGGACATTAACACACAGCACCATCGACTTTTATGGTAAACTACGAGGCATGTGCTATGGATACCAGACTGTTGAAAGATAGTAGAAGAAAAAATTAAAGGAAATCAAACAATTCTGGTCAGGTATCCCACACGGGCAAGCGACGTCGGCTGGCGTCCTGCAGCGTGAACCTGCGCAGGCACGCGTCGCTGGCACCGGCACAGCGCTCTCTGCAGCTGCAGCTGGAGCCCACCTCCAGGAAACTTAGGGGGGCCAAGCTGCAGTTGACATTGCATTGTGTTCTGTTGAGGGAGGGGCAGGCTACGTGAGTCTTGTTATGTGTTTTTAATATTATTCTGATTCCAATTTACACGTGAATTTTGATCGTACAAGGGATTTGTATATATACTAATCTGTTATTGTATTAACAAACCAGCTTATAGGGTTCTGTATCTTAAAAGAAAAAAAGGAATCCTTATAGGATCATTTCGTTGACCATTTGTCTGTCTGTCAAGAATATTTTTCTCGGAAACGCACGGAGGTTTCAAGTTGAAATTAATATCAAATACTCAGGTCTGCAATCCCTAGAGTTGTGGAAAAATCAAACTTCTACGTCAAGGTAATCAAAATGTACAGGTCGTTTATACCGCATATTTTGACACTCAAGGGAATCAAAACCTATACGGTATTTAACGTTTACCTAGAATCATGAAATTCGGCAAGAAGTAATGTCTTATTAACACAAGTTAAGGGAAAAATCCGAAACCGTGTAGTTACATCACAAAAAGAGGTCAGCAGAGTCCAATCAATATACGAAGAAGCAACAAAATAAGTTCCGACAGAGTTACTTTCGTGTTTATAATATTAGTATGGATGAAATGAGCACCTCCTTTTTTTGAAGTCGGTCAACAAATTTTTTATTTTCCTATAGAGACGAAGACATGCAGTCCCTAGCCTCGTTACTATCTGTGAACAATAACTCAGATATAGCAGTTTTGGAGGATCTAGATGAGGATGACTACACACTGTCCGATAGTTCTACGCGACAAGTGAGTTGTATTGTCTATTTCTTAGACTTTTATGACATATTTTTTTTTGGTTTTATTATGAGTTTAAATTTAAATTGAATTATTTATGTTTTTAATAATATCTGAAATTTATCCAATTTAAATAAAACATTTATTTAAGTTTTAGTCTAAAAATTCATTTTTTTACAGATGTTGGACCTTCGTCAACAAGTGGAAGAAATGACGCAAAGTTTAACCAATAGCGACATAGCAGCAACCCCCAATAGTGTGCAAAGCTTGAACTTTGATAACTCCCGAACCCCCACAGCTCCTATGACACCCGAATCAACTACCCCTACAACCCCTGTAAATGCACCAATAAAAGAAATGGACGATCTTAAAATCAATGATTTAACAATAACCCCAAAAACTAGACCTGAATATCTCAGTAATTTAACAAAACTAGCAATGAAAAGCGAACCCCCAAAATTCTCTTCAACCCCCAAAATTGTACCGGAGAAGGTAGAAGAAAAGGTAGATAACATAAAAGGTGTCGTTTTTAAACCAAAGACGGTCGCAAAAAGGAACCTTAAGCCGTTGGAATTAAAGACTAATTTAAATAATATAAGTTTGGACACGAATGACAATGAAAAGGAAGATTTAGATAAAACTCCGATAGCGGAAGTGGAGAAACTATTTCCGGTTAAGGCTATGGATAAGGATAAAACACCAGTAAGTCATTTCTTAATTCTTACTTAATGTGTATTATAGTATTTTAAAAAATATTTGTGGGCGAAATCTCAGGAAACGTGATGTTATATTGTGTAGACTTTTTGTGACGTTATATTATTACATAAAATATGTATTTTGTGATTTATTATATTAATTTTCTAATGAATACAATAATTCATAAAATAAAAATTCATGAATAATTCATAAAACTTCGCAATTTTTTTCTCATTTTACACTTAAAATCGGATTTCTGTACAAATCTGACCGTATTTAATTCCAAACGTCCGCATCATATCAAAGGCAGAAAAACATATACTGAATTACCATAGTCAAATTCTATTTTTAAAGAAGACTTTGCAGCATAAAACAAAGCAATATATAAGACCCCTATCCCGCCTTCTCTTAACCAGTTCGTTTTTGGACCTGGACTACATAACAAAGTGTCTCTATTTTCTTTATTATCTCGATCTTTTATTATCTCGATCTTCCCTTGGTCCATAACAAAGCATTCCACAAACCCCTATCCCTCCAATTCTCCTCTGGGTCCAGGTGGGAGCTGGACAATAACAAAGCGTCACCCCCAGGTGCAGGACCTGCTGGAGTGGTGCAGCGTGGTGACGGCGGAGTACCCGGTGTGCCGCGTGGCCGACCTCTCCGCCAGCTTCCGCTCCGGGCTCGCCTTCTGCGCCATCATACACCACTACCGGCCTGATCTCATGTGAGTGGGGCAGGGGGAGACTAGTTGTAGTTGTTGTTTATATAGTGTTGATTGTTTGTTGAAGTGTTAATGATTTTAATGCTATTATACACGTTTACCAATGTTATGTGAGTACAGTAGGAGAAAGAGAGAGGAAAACTGTTATTTGCAACGTTTAGAATGTTAGTATGTTTATTCTTTTGGTAAGAATAAAAAATTGTATATTCGACGATGTGAGGATCTTGACATACTCCGGAAATGGATGTATTTAAAAATAACGGATAATTTAGTATATTTTATATGTAACGACTTCTCTTCAGAAACTGTTCGAACAAAAAGGTCATACAGTGTGTCAGTATGTGCAGTGATCGGTCCAGTTTATCGACACAGCGAACGGGCGCTACAGTATGTGTGTCTGTCTGTGCAGAGACTTCTCGGGGCTGTCGGCGGAGGACGCGGACGGCAACGTGCGCACGGCGCTGGAGGCCAGCGCGCGCCTCGGCATCGCGCAGGTGCTCACGGCCAGCGACGTGCGCCGCGCGCCGCACCCGGACAAGCTCGCGGTGCGCACGCACATGCTATCTATACAGATAAATAAAATTGAAGTGTCTGTTTGTAATGTCAAAATAACTGCGTTTTACTAAATGCATATGGAATTATATACGGTATTTATTAGAAAACGCAATTTTTAAAATGTTTGTCCGTCTGTCTGTTTGTTCCGGCTAATCTCTGAAACGGCTAGGCAGATTTTAGCTCGACTTTCACTGGCAGATACTTGATGTTATAAGGAGTAACTTAGGCTACTTTTATTTCAGTAAGAGAATTAGGGTTCCGCTCAAAAAAAAATTGTAACGTACCTAGGGTACGCTCGTAGTAATAATAAAAATATAAATGAAAGGTCTATGGACCACCGCTCGAAACGAAGTTGCTTTCGCTTTTTGGTAGACGTTTGCTATACAGTCATTATAATTTATATTGTAAAATATCAAGTTGATAGAGTTCAATTGAAAAAATTACGATAAAATATATTTATTACCTATAAAATAAATAATTATAGTTTTAACACTGAATAATCCTAGATAATAAAGTTAGTAACAAATAAAAATTTTAGAACTGTATAAATCTTAATTTATTAATAATACTTTTTTTAATTTTAAAAATAAACATTAATTATTTACTATAAAAATATATATAAATAAAAGTTAAAGAAAGCCGAAAATAAGAGCCGTCGAGTCTTTCGGCGCGCGGGAAAACTGTGTGGGGAGATGTACATATATAGTTCATACATGGTTGTAACTATAGCAAGAAGTGTCGGAAAACAGTCTTATTACACTTTTTCGGTCTCGATCCCATCCGCTCAGAGCGTGTAACGCACTTCACGTTCCAATATCATCCTGATCGATTGGCCGCCGCGGCCGAAACCGGTCAGGGGGACACTCCCATACATACATATTTTACATGCTCAAGTACATAGAGTTATTAGATGATACCAGTACTTTTTTTTTAAATATCTGTCTGTCTGTCTGTCTTTCTTTGTCCGGGGTAGTCTTTTACAACGGCTTAACCAACTTTAATGGGACTTTCACTAAAAGATTAGGAGTTTGTAAGGTTACATATAGGTTATGTTTAATAACGGAAATATTTTGGGTTTCAGGGCGAAAAGCGAAAACTTTTAAAAATCATGCAATATTTGATTCACGCAAAAGCCCTTAATAGTATATATCTCCTAAGGAACACTCGCAATAATATTCAAAATGTACACCAGGGACGAAGCTAGATGACTTCACTATAGTAAAATTTATTTTCCTCTTTCAGATAATGACATATCTGTTTCAACTGCGCGCGTACTTCACTGGTAATGAACTGCAAGTAGAGCAACTTGGTAAGTTATAATTTGATTTTGTTATAGCTTGAGTAAAGTAATGACGCAGTCCTTTATTTTACTTAGTTTTACTTCTAAGGGTGGGTTATTGTTATTAAAGTAGTCCTGAAGTAAGTATACTTTTGTGGTTAAAATTATCATTATAATTATGTTACTTTATTATTGGTTAGTAAATGTAGGTGACATAATATACAAACATAAAGTTAGACTAGTTATGACTTACTCGTAGAATATTTTAGCACGAGACTTTGATGAGATTTTCAATTATATAATTATTAATATGAAATATCAAATTAAACACATTTACAAGTTAAAAAAATAGCTTTATTATCTTTTACCATAATTGCTTCCAAGTTTTTTCTGATTAAGCTTTGACAATAGTTACACTGATGAGTGGTAAAGATTGATTAGCATCAAATGAATTACACTAAATTTTAATAATCTTCCCTTCTACCACCATTCTTATACCCGATAATTAAAAAAAAAAGATCAAGTCGTGTTGTCTGTACTACATGACGTGTCGCCAAAAATATTTTAGGACTGGTCTGATAAATCATCGCTACGTCCATTTGTAATTCTATGGCGTACATTAATGTCTATGAATCAATAAATGATTAATGAATGAATGAATAAATGAATGAATGAAGTACAAATAATAAAATACAACGGCTCGATTGTGCACCAGGCAACGACGAGACGGAGTCGTCGTACCTGGTGGGGCGCCACGACACGGACGCGTCGCTGCCCGCCGAGCTGTTCAGCCGCGAGGTGAGCGCGCGCCGCTCGCGCACGCTGCCGGACCGCCCGCGCCCCGTGTCAGTGCTTCTATACGTAATACTTACTTAGAATTACGCGAATATTTGGCATTTTATATAAAACTATCTTTTCGGATTATTTCGCGGACTTATTTTGATTTTCGGTTCCCGACGTTTCGAATGCTTTACAGCAATCATGGTCACGGGAGAGACTGAGATGGAGAGTCTCAGTCTCTCTGTAAAATAGATTTAAGTTAATCACAATAGGTTAATGTTATTAGTTTATGATTTCCGCCAAATTAATCAACATTTCCGCCAACCCGCACTTGGCCAGCGTGGTGGACTATGGCCTGGTGGGACGTTAAAAAGGACTGAATACAATCAACATTAGTAATTAACTTAAGAAGTTCATCAAAGATTTGTTGTTGAGATGAATTGTTATTTTATATATTTTTTATCAATTAAATATGACTATTTATTTGTACAGCAACAATAAAACAAGTTATAATTGTAAGAAGTGATAATATTATCTTACAATTGATGGAAATCGTAGTTTTTAAAGCAGTGACATTGCAAGTAATGTAATCTTCTCTTCGATTTTTGAATGATAAATTTGTTTGGTCAGATCTAACCTATAAAAATATGTTTCAGTACCTTCCATTAACCATATTCTACTATCCCATAGGTCCCAAGGCTCGATAGAGTCCCGCCAGTCCCAGGAGCGGTCCCCGGATAAGTCCCCGGCGCCCACGAAGGCCCGCGACATGCTGCTGCAGTCCAAGAGCATCCTGGGCAAGATGCTGTCTCCGGCCAAGGGGGAGAAGCCCACCGCCAAGTGGTTCACCGATCCCGTCAAGGTTATTAATGAGGTTCGTGTGTGTAATGCCGGTGTAGAGTATAATAATTATTCATTTACAACATTTAATATACCTATACTACCAGTAACCGCGGCCTCGCTCACGTCCAAACTTCTGATCACTACCAAACTTCACAGGTTCACTCGCTGGGCTAATCTAAAGATTGTCTTAAAATTTCATCAAAATCGTTCCCGGTGTTTTGGAGTCCATAGGGAACATACATAGACACATCGATTTTTATTTTATTTAATCAACAATTTTAATATATTTATTGCATGGGAAATGGAGTTTTATATGAAAATTTGGCGACACACCGACTGCGGCGCCACCTACCGGGTCCAATTATGTTTTCAAATCATCCAGAAACTCATTGAAATATACACAAAAAAAATTATCCAAATCGGTCCAGCCGTGTAGGCGGAGTTACGTGACAAGCACACGTACAGAAGAATTGTATATATTAAGATATATAATTTAGATAACAATATTAGATTTCAAATCATAAGTTTCCGGACGTCATTTTTATTATATATCTGTATAAGAAAGGGTTACTTTCCGCCATTGTGAGAGAGGCCTCCTAGTCGACGCTAAGACGTGCGTAATTAAGAATTGTGTATTACCTTGTAACAGTTTAATTGTAATAAACTAAAAGTTTATAAGCAATACCAAATGAAAACTTTCATTTGTTACACTGGGTTTGTCTAATGACACTTATCATTTGCCACAAACTTCAAACCTCTACTAACTTACCGCAAATTTCCTTTAATTTTGTAATGGCATGTCAAGGCTTTGCAAGCTTGGTGCCATTACGTGCTCGAGAGCGGCCCGATTAATTTTCGTGTTTCAATCATGGCACCTTTTGCCGTTGGGTTGGGTGTCATCCATTTATCCTACATGCTTGGCATCTCTCAAATGTACGTGAGTCACGTTCATTTCTACCTTGCACGTGTAAATTGTTGAACGATCTTTCTCCAGAGGTTTTACCTGAGCGTTATAATGGAGCTCTTCAAGCCACGTCTTCAAGTCCCCTTAAAGGCTGGCAACACATTCGCAATTCCTCTTATATTGCAGATGATGGATCGTTTGCTCGTTTGCCCCTTTCAAATATGAAAAAAAAACCTATGTGTTCTTTGAGGAACATGTTTAATTTTATTAAAATCGGTCAAACCGTTTTTTTTTCACATGAAAAAATAAAAAACATATTTTGTTTTCTTATTTTTTCTTTAATTATACACACAAATGTATAAACTCTCGTTATTATTCTGAATTAATTTTTTACCGTTGTAGAATTATTAAAAAAATATTATTTATATAAAAGTTTAAATCTCAAATTGTTCATTTAGAATTACGATCACGATGTTTATTTAAAGCATTGCAATAAATATTGATGCCTTAATTTTTACTCAGCCAATCCCAGCACGGCCTGAGAAACTGATGACTCGCAAGGAGTTGACGGATCCCTTCGGCTCTGATGATGAAGAGGAACCAGCCAATAATGCGATTAGTAACGGTGTTGGTGAGAACTCAGATGTTAAATTCTATATAAAAATATACATATAATGTATGTGTAGTTTATATTATTTCCCCGGGGGTTAGATAATTGTTGTATTTAACTCTTTTCAACGTCCCACTGCTGGGCGTGTACCTCCCTTTAATATGAGGAGGATCAGGCCCATAGTCCACCACGCTCACCTTGCTAGGTTCTCAGAGATGCAGGTTTATTCACGATGTTTCCCTTCACCGTAAGACGAGTGGTGATCATGTTGGAAATGATTCGCATATGAAAATATCAGAAAAGCGAGACCCGGGATTGGAACACAGATTCTAAAAAGACGAAAGTCGATATATGTGTAATTTCAGTTCTTTTTTAATAGAAACTAATCTAGTTTGTCTAAGGTTGATTATATTATTAAGGTTTATTATATTCCGATGGATTGTCAAGCAATAATATGCAAACAAAGCCCTGTAAAATAACTTTAGCTTATTATAAAAGCTATTATAACTGCACTATTTCTTTACAGTTAAATCGGAACAAAAACCAACCATAGAACCCGCTACCACCGACCCATTAAGCGTCACCGACGCAACAACCAATGGTAACGAGAAACCAAAACCAGTTGAACTGCCAAAACCTACGCCGGTAAGTTACATACAGTTCGTTTTAGTGTGGCTTTTGTTACGTTTTAGTGATGTTTTGTTGAAATAATAGATAATACATAGTTAGATTAGTGTTTGATTTTTTAGATGTAATAATATAAATAATAGGTAAAAGCTAGTAAAATATATAAAACTGTTTTCTGAGTTTAAAAGCAAAATATGGATTTCGTAAGTTTTTCACTATAAATATCATGACATTCTTTAAAATAGCTTTAAAGATTCATCAAAAACCTAATACAAAGATAATTTCTTTCCATACGCTTCATATGTGTGTGTGCTTCGCTGTTTGGATATTAAAACAAAATGGCGCGCTTAAAATACAAAATGGCATCCTAAAAACAAAATGGCGCGATTTAAAAACGAAATGGTGTGCTTTTAAAACAAAACGGCGTCATAAAACGATATGGCGTGCTTTTTCCGCTTGTCAAACGCCAGCAATTGTTGTCACGTCACGACGAATTGAAAGAGAGAGCGAGACAGTTGCTCGAGGCGACCAAACGTGAGGCGAAAGAAAAGGACAAAAGCAAAACTGACAGTGAAATTGTGAACGGCTTGAATGACATGGGAAGTCCGAAAAAGGTAAGTTTTATGGTTTTTTTGAGTTTGTCGTAGCCTTTTTCTGCTATTTTTTGTCTTTCAGTTTACTTTTTTTGTGTAAAAATGTTTGTTTTGTTTCGTTTTTCACCTTCTATTATTTTCGCTTAACAAATGTATTCTTTTCAATTTAAATGATTTTGAACTCAATAATATTTATTTGCGTTATTTTACTGCAAGCTATATAGTTTATTAGATCTTTTTAACAGGGAATAATTCTGTAATACATTGTTTTTATATAATGCGGCGCACGTCAGTAAAGCTCTCAGAAGGCATGATTTTTTTCTCGACATCGCCAACAATCAACGTCATATTTTAATGAATTACACATCTAAAGCTTCCTTATGAGTCACTCCGTCCATTGGTGAAAACCGTATGATAATCCGTTCCGTAGTTTTTGAGTTTATCGCGTTCAGACATAGAGACACAAACAACCGCGCCGTAACCGCGCGTAGTGATGATTACAAACAATAAATACTATGTTATAATTTTCATATAAATAAAATTTTGCATATACAATAACACGTGGATATGTATGTTTTTATTATATTAAATGTTTATTATCTATTATTATTATATTATTTGTATATAATTATAGATGTGTATACATTTTATTATAATTTATAATTATTTTACTTTATAGCACTAGCTTTTCTTTCGTCTTTCCTCACAACGAAAATATGTATTATTTTATATATATAAAAAAATCAAAGTATTTGTATTTATATGTATACTTCTAAATATTGTTTTTATTCTACAGCCAATTACAGAAGAAGAGAGACAAGCGATGTTACGTGAGAGGGCGAGGAAGTTAATAGCCGACGCTAGAGCGGGCATAGTCAGGTGAAACACATATTACTAGTTTTTGCCCGCGATTTGTCTATTATGGTTTGTATGGTAGTAGCCTATCAATGGATCCATGATATAAGCTATTTCCATAATTCCATATTTTCTAATTTAATTTTTGGAAAAAAATCAAAAAAATAATTTCTTTAATATTTAATGATTTAATTTATTTCTCTATACATCTTGTTCCACTTTGTTTTAAACAATAAATTTAAGGCAGTTCATTATATATATATATATATATATATATATATATATATATATATATCTTATTATCCATATACTATGAATATCATCTTTAGTAGTTACTAATCTTTTGGGCGTTATCAGTGCTCAAATAATAAATTAGGTATGCATCCAGCATCGTTCAATGCGATTTAAGGGAAATCACAATGTTATAAACTTGAAATGGCAATACTAATAATTTCATTGAGCAAGCGGGTTCTGAGACGTTGTCCATCGACTTCCAACTACAATATCAAATACATACGTAAATATGATCCACCAAGATCAACCAACTTTACTTAACCACGGACCTATCTCCATCGAATGTCATGATGGCATCTCGATTCTCGACCCCGCTCGAGACGTAATGTCTGTTCTAACTTTAAAATTACTTTAAAAGAGCAATAAAAACTAAACTAAATAAGTTAGTGACTTTAAACAATAATAAGGCTCTATAACAGAAAAAGGTAACTATATATTTTTTTAATTTTTCCAGTCCAACATCTCCCCTCTCTCCGTCGCGCACTCGCGGCACGCTGGAGATCATCAGCAAGCAGTCCGTCATGGAGGAGTTCGCTGCGGGTGAGATGGAACGCTCTTACTGTATTTTGCTTTATTAATATTAGTATATTAATGCTATATTAATATAATAATATCTTACTCAAGTATTGTTATACTAATAAAATAAATAAAGTATGTAACTTCGATATTTAACACAGCAACTTTCGTTTCTCTTGCCTCTTCTCAGTAGAAATGCTTTCCGAACCGGTGGTGGCTTCCTCTCGGACTGACTACATCGACGCTCTTTAAATTATATTGACGATTCAAAAGAGCTTATAATAATCTATTTGAATAAAGTTTATTTCATTTCATTACGTTCTTTGAAGCTCAGACTGAAGAATATGCAGACGGAGTAAGACTAATATAAATGTCAATGCCGAAAATAGAAGCGTAATTTGTTGTTTATGCTACTACTATTTCCGATGTTGAAGATCGCTTACGTTTTTTAGAGAATAAAGATTTCTTTATTTTTTAACCGTTAATTTAGGATTTTTGAGAAAAAAGGAATATTTTTGTAATTAATTTTACACATACATAACAGCGGGTGGTGTGGAACAGTTAGAAGATCTAATATCCAGGCCCGAGTCGATGCCGTCGAGTCCTGGGTCCAGGAAAAGTGCTCCCAGTCCGGACAGATCAGGTTAGTTTTCGACCCCCCCCCCCCCAACGTGCGTTCACCTTGTCGTGGTGGGGGGGCTCAGTAGTGTACTCGCGAAGCCAAGAAACGCACAGGGAGGTGGCCCGCTTCGATGGGCGGTGGGAGGCGGCCTTCTTCGGAGGGTGGTGTACCATGCGGGTTGCTCCTGGTACTTCTCTGATAGCAGAGTGGACCGTGGAGCAACCCCATGGTTGTGGTGGTCTGCTTCGGCAGACCTGCCGTCGGGGCGTCGTAGTTGCATGCGTAAGCGATCCTGCGACGCCCCATTAAGACGGGGGAAGGTTTTGTTGGGTTTTAGTGGGTAGTACTGGCTTTGCCGGTGAGTCCCACACTTCGTGCGTAAATGCATTTCCCAACGTTAAAAAAAAAGGTTAGTTTTCGACACTTTGATTTTAATGTTTTATTTTTATTTTTTTTATTTATTAAGATTCACCAGTGGTAATTACACTATGTATTTTTATGTCTTTATGTTATTTATTCTAAAATATTCGGTTATATTCTATACTTTTTGGATGGGTGACGGGTTTAATTTTCAATAGCTAAGTTCAAGGAAAATTTCGACATTTGCAAACAATAACGTTACAAAGTCCATATTCAATTTTTTTGCAATATTCTAATACAATAATAACATTTATTTCTCGCCGACATCGAATTTTCTGCTTGTAATCAACCAAGAACAATTTGAACATTTTAATATAAATAAGTTGATATATCGTCCTACTCGTCACCAGATCCGCACAGCGCGGAGAGCCGGTCGCGCAGCGCGTCGCCGCCGGCGCTCGCCGCGCTGCAGGACGACGACGACCAGGTACACACGCACACACGCACACGCAAACACTTTTTACTTTTACGGTCTCACGATACGGTTACGATACGACCTTATAACTTCTGAGGTGGGAAGGATGACTTGTGTTCTTACTGTGCGGGAGTGTTACATCGTCGTCATACAAAATCTCCATGTTACTGTAAATTTTCTGACAGTAAAATTCATTAGCTATGATGGACCCGATTTGAGACTCGAACCCAAAACTCGGAAAGTAATAAAACAAAGTAATAAAACATTATCAAATAAATAATTTTAAATGTTTATTTTTTAGTAATATTATGTATTCATTTTAAATGTTTATTTTTTAGTAATATTGTGTAATGATTTTATTAATAAATTAATGTATGAGTAACATATAAATGTCTACGTTATATAGAAATTATTTTTATATCTCTTATTACCTGGAGATCATAGGCTCGAGTCCCTGGTCCCACTAACATTTGAGTTTTTCTGTGAAGAAAGTCTCAATAACAGTCCGGAGTTGGCAGTGTTTTATCCCTGGGCCTGCTGTTGTACACTGTGAGTTCGACACTCGATTTGAGAGCTCAGAGGATTGTTGATCCACCGGGGTATGAGAATAAATGGAATGGAATAGTTGATGAATTTTTATCTATGTATATAATATCTCCTGCACACTTTGCTAGTCTTAGTGGTAATGGCCGCCGTGGCCGAAATCGGTGGGTATAAAGGGGATCAGATCATAATCTCACGTTGGCCAAGTGCGAGTTGACAGATTTCACATGTCCTTCAAAACCTCGCTAGGTTCTCTCAAACATGCAGATTTCCTCACGATGTTTTTCTTCACAGTAGGACGAGCATATGTATTCATGTTGGAAATGATTAGCACATATAAGTTATGTATATGTAAAATCTAAATTATCTATTTATTAATACATGAAGAGAAAACGTTGATCCCCTTTTTAAGCATATTGCATGTACAGAGTAGTATGAGCTTTGGCATAGTTAAAGTTTATAAAGAGAAGGACTGCAGAAAGCCAAAATTTATTGACATGTCTAGCCGCGAATCCGCTCGCGTATTTTATTTGTATATAATTACTTAACTGCTAAAAGATGCAGCGTGATGTTAGATAACCTAAATCAATATTAAACGAGTACGTGCAAATCTCTGATTCTATGGTCTCATTAAAAATTCTTATGGTTTTTATAGGCTATCTATATATATAATTTTGAAAAGAGAACCTCAATATCGATCAAAATTAATTATGGTTTTCAACTATGGAACGATCACTAGTTTATTTTTATTATACATTATAACTGAATGATACGTGTGCACCCAGGAGCGTGAGACGGGGTCGTACATAGCCAGCGAGCTGGAGGCGCTGGAGCGCGAGCAGAGCGCCATCGACGAGCGCGCCGCCGCGCTGGAGAAGCAGCTGCGGCGCGTCATCGACGCCGCCGACAACATCGAGGTGGTACCGGGGCGGGGGGTGGATATGTTTGGGATATATAGTGATACGTTAAAAAAAGAAGCACTGCCGACAGAAGTGAAAACTTCACTACATAGTATAAAACAAAGTCGCTTCCCGCTGTCTGTCTGTCCCTATGTATGCTTACATCTTTAAAGCTACGCAACGGATTGCGGATGCGGGTTTTTTAACAGATAGAGTGATTCAAAAATACTTCTATTTCATTTAGTATGAACCGTTAAAACGTACCTATAAAACTATAAACAAACATTTGTTATTTTTTTATATTCGAATTATTTGTTTGATTTTAAATTATAATTTGTAAATTAAAACTGTTTACATTTATCTGGTTTTGACATCTATCGGCGCTCTGAGTGTTAGCGTTAACACGTCACGTGACCATGTCGATGACGACTTACATGAATTTACTCCCCATTCAAACCTGCCTATAGAAGTTTTCACTTCGAAAAAAAATGTTGATTGAAGAAATCTTCGAAAAGAAATGTTGTTAGTTACCTTAATGATCAATTGTGTACTAATAATTTGCAGATGAAATGGCGTCATGTATTTTTGCCATGTGTTCGAATTCCCAAAGACCCGGTATTTTCCTTTCCCATGTTTATACATAAATTAAAATAATCTTATATGTAGATAACATTTGACGTTTTTTAATCTATTAAGTACTATGTTCAATCAATATATATTTTTTTATTTATGTGTATAGATAAGCTATAATATGTTAGTTCATTACCAGATTTTTTGATTTTTGAATTTATTTTATATATGTATAGTTTTTTTTTTAATTTTAATTATTCAGATCAATTTTTAATACAAGTTTGTGCAAGAGTTTGATTAATTTTATTATAAAAAAAATATGTTTTCTTAGTAGTCTTTGCGTAATTTAAAGAATTGTTGTGTTTCAATTTTTTTTCTCAACATATTTAATACTGTACGATATTTTGTATGATTTTATTTGTATAGATAATGATTTACTCTTATAGTTTTTATAGATCCAGTATATTTCTATTTGTCAATAGTTTTATGTATATTAGTTTGGGGACATCCATTAAATACGTGAGCTGTTTTTTTTTCAATTTAAACCACCTCATCCCTTGGTGAGATTAAGTGAGATTTTTCGAAAATTTCAGTGATTAAAATAGGACACTTGAAAGTAAGATCAAAAAATTATATTTTTTGATTATTAATGTATATATATTTTTAAAATTGATATCAGATTTTCAATTATCTGAGCTTAAATGACATTTGATGAGATTTTAATGGACCACTCTCCACCCCATTTTGAGGTCACGTAATTAATGTATGTCCCCTTTTGTTTAATTTAGCAATATTTTTACTAATACTTATTTGAAATTTTTATTAGTAATTGTTTGAAACATAAATGTATTATGTACATTGGACAATATATTATTTTTAATATATTTGTTTGTTTTTAGGAGGAGAATCGTTTGATGTCGCAGTGGTTCAACTTAGTCAATAAAAAACACGCGCTGTTGAGACGTCAGATGCAACTCAACATTTTGTGAGTATATTGTTAAAAAAATATATAACTAAATACTTATATATTATAAATATAAGCGCCCACGACTGGAGTACAAACATTTGTGCTCATCACACAAATGAATGCCCCCAGAAGAACTCGAATCCGCGACCGCTGTAACAGCAAGTAGGGTCACTACAAACTGAGCCAAAGGTGTCGTCAAATAAATGATTAGTGCCTACTATGTTTTACAAGTGCATTATTACCTATTTATATTGTATTAACTGCAATAAACTTCTTGAAAAATATTAATTCAAAATAACATTTAGTTGTTACCTTATAAAGAAGTAACATGTATTTTTTTAAATTAAAATGGTAATCAAATAAATAAAAAAAAAATGGAACGTTACGTTTATCTGTAAATTCTTTATATAGAGAACAAGAAGAAGATCTAAGTCGTAGATGCGAGCTGCTGGCGCGGGAACTGCGGCTCTCCCTCGGAGTAGAAGAGTGGAGAAAGACTCCCGGGCAGAAGAGAAGAGAGAGACTTTTGTTACAGGTAACGGGGAGATTAGTTACATTTTACAAATGAATAAGAATTTTGTTATTTTTAGAAGAAAATATTATTTTTAAATGTAATCTTGCGATTTTGAAATAAATAAATAAAGAGAGGGTGTATGGCAATTTGAGTACATCAATCCAGTTAGATACTTTTCATATTATAAAGTCCGCTATAGCTCTGGAACTCTTTGCTGCTTGAAAAAACAGTTTTCGACAAACGTTGAGGACTGATTTTTATATATATTTTATTATCCTTTAATATAAAATTCTTGCTTTTTTGTTGTCACATAAAAAATAGTTTTCATCCATGTTTAGAAATGTGAAAAAAAAACTATCGTTTTTGCATATATTTTTTACAAAAATATTGGTTTTTTTCTTTTCTTTAGGAGCTATTATCAGCGGTGAATGAAAGAGACAGACTTGTTCAAGAAATGGATGAACAGGAGAAAGCGTAAGTGCGAATTATTTTATTTAACTCTTATTATAGTAAGTCTGTTTTTTTAGGGATTATAGATGTGATCTTAAAATAGTGACAATGTTTTTTTTAATGTTGAAATTTTAAAATGAAAAAACCAATATATTATACAAAAAAATGTTAGATTTAAAAGAAATAAAGTTAAATTGATAATCTGACTAATTAACATCGTAAATGAATGAATTTGGTTAAAATAGAACATTTCTCATATATATAGATATTAATTATTACTATATAAATACTTCAACCAGAAATCGAATGTGCAGCTATTATATCATACTATATCATATAATTTCAATTATTTTTGTCAACAGGATAGCCGATGACGAGAAGATCCAACTTAACCTATCAAACGTTGAGATACAAAGAAAAAACAACTGTATTTTGCAATAAAATACGAACTAAATTCACATACAAATTGTAACGCTTATGAGACAAGCTTATTTAAATTATTATGCGGAAATAATTCAAAAATGGCAAAAATAAAGTTTACTTCGAAATAACGTTATTGTCCATTAGTTATTAAAACAATATATTTTTAATATTTAGTATGCTGACGGTTTATCGTATAGTAACATGTATCTCGCTCTAACACTTTTTGGAATTTAACTCTGTCTCGCTCACACAGCTCGTATTTAAAATGAGCGAAATATATAAAATTAAAATTCATGTATCTATAAAACGACCGGAATATAAAAAAGATAGAGATTCATAGATATTTACTTAAAGTAAAGTGTATTTCTTTTCGTTTCTTTTAAATAAGTGTAAGCGAGATAGACTTAAAGAACATTTTTAAACTAAAATTTATTGAGAAAACAAAGTTTAAAACGTTAAGCACTTTTAAATACGAAACTGCATTAAATGTATTAACTTATATGGTGTCTGAAAGAAATCTGATTGAATTGATCTACTTTCTTTAGAGCGAGAAAACAACAGGAATGGTGAATGGGAGTGAGCGAGATAAGAATATTTGACGTTTGCTCTCCTTATATTTTGGACTTAACAATAACTTCTATAAACATTTTAAATAAAACTATTTTTTTCGAATTTTTTCAGTAAATAATCCGTAAAGATAGTTTTACTTAAAATGTCAAATATTCGCGTAAATCTAAGAATGTAATGTACATTAAACATTTATATTTTAAACATTTCAACGGCCTTACTGTTGTAAGACAGAGAATACTCATATTGTTTCCTATAATAATAAGTATTTAAGAACTAAATATAGGAAAATATCGATTAATCATTGATGATTAAGAAAATCGATAGTCAAAATAATCGATTTTCGTATCCCATCATTTCATTGTAAAGTTGGGTCTACACTTATGAAAAAAATGTATTTTCATATAATTTTAATGCTATTTTTTTTTAATTATTGACGTAAAAAATATTTTTTTAACTTATTTTATTTTTCGTGTAGATCCAGCTTTATGCTTATTTATTATTATTTCTGTGACTCACCAAAGACTTCCTTTACTTCGATCCCTCTTAAAATAAAAATTTTATTATGTACCATGAAAAGTATAACTGGAGAAAAAGTAATAGATAATTCATATTTTGATTTAAAATTGTTCAAAAACAAGTCAATTTCAGACATTTTTGTCATTATATTTAAATGAAAAATGAAATAAAATCATAAATTCGCGATTTTCTTTTCATGTACAGATTAATTATATGCAGATATTACACTGTTAAAGTAAACTGTCTAATAAAACTATATGGTAAATAATAAAATTAACATCTATGTATATCCATCTAAAGGTGATATTCGAGTACAATGCCATAGCTTAATTTTTTTATGTACAAAAAATATTTTTTTACGTGGAGCGAAAGAAATGTAAATAATAGTCATGATTTAGTTTTAATTATATTTATTTTTTGTGGCTATGTTAGATATATTCTCTTGCCTTAAGAGTTCTTTTAATTAAAAAATATATAATATATTGCAAAATATTTTCGGACTTAATTTTTTCCAACAAATATTAATTAATGGCTTTATTATTTTTAGTTAAAATTCTTTAAAAAAATGAACGGTTTTTTAATTTCTTATACAAAAATACATTACACCTTTTGAAATGATATATGTATGTAATATACATATGAATGATTAAAAAAATGAATTATATAAATATTGGTAACTTATTTACAGTTATGCTTTATATTTAAATGAATAAAGTTTAACGTAAAAAAAAAACAATTTTAAATGACGCTTTTGCGATGCTATAATAAATAAATAAAAAAGGAATTTCAAATCATAATGAACGATTTAATAAATTGCAGAATCAATTCACATCTTCGCCTTTTATTGATCAGACATGAAAAAACTTTGATTTTTTCAACTTTATATTTAAATAGTTCATAAATAAATTTGTAATACCACATAATAATTTTTTTATGTTTTAAGTCGACCTAGTTAAATTTTTTTCAAACCATTTTTCATACTTCCAATATAATAGTGTTTTTTTAATTTTATTCATATAATTGTGGGCATAAGAGTGGGTGCTAGGACGTAACCCTGTGGTTTGGTACGTTAATGTGTGCAATTTTTTTTCCAGTTTTTTTTTTGCAAGAGATTGTCGTTGGTAAGCAATTTTTTTTATATATTTTTTGGTATGAGTAATTGTTTTTACTAAATATTTGGGGGAAAATATTTTGATGTCATATTTACCAAAAAGTATTATACACTTATTTTATTGTCATAATAAAAATATTTTAGGCTTAATAGGCCTAGTATTATTTCCCCTTTTATTATTGAGTTAGTTAAAAATAATTTACAAATGAACATTTTTAACTTTCTACGACAGTCTCATAGTGCATACTCGTACAATTACTGTATATACATATATAGACTTAGTTGTAGTGTGTTTGTATCTGTACCATCGGTCTAGTTCATATTTTTTTAATTTTATGCTCAAAAGCATCAATTTTAACAGGTTTTTTTAATTAAAAAAAGCTTGAACTTTACATACATATTCATTATTAATTAGGCTGAATATGTAATCTTTTGCTCTTTTTTTATTTTTGAATAATGCCTTTTTGGCTTTGTGTCTATATATATAAGATATATATATATATATATATATATATATATATATATATATATCTTATATTTTTTGATAGGACACTAGACCGACAGGTAAAATATCTTTACATATAAAACCTCATTCAATAACTTCGCTTCACCATATCTTGTACTATAACTAATTAAGTTGCTTAATACTTAAGTGAAATCACTTATAATTTTTATATAAATTTTTGTATCGCCATACAAATAGTATAGGGAAATGGGATCTCAGTTAAAATTTCCATTCGTATATAAATTGTGCTATTATTCATATAAATGTTTAGGATTTTCTGATGAAATTATTATGTCAATGTAAATGTAGTGTAAATTTTTGCAGTTTTCGTTTGTAGAGGATGGTGTTATCCAGTTCACTTGTATCATTTGAAATTTCGATATTTGATGTTTCTGTACATTTTAAAGGTTTATGGATGACCTGATTACGTTTTTTTTTAAATTATGTATTATTATATATTACATAATTAAAAAATAACGATAACTACATGTGCAAATGTGTATTATATACGTTATAATAGTTTAAGTTCAACAAGAAACTGGATTTAAAAATCTAGTTTTTTGCTCACTATTAAAAAATCGTAAACTGAGAAAAAAACTAAAATCAATAATAGATGAAATAAATTGAATTAAAAATGTACGTAATTCGTTGGCTCACTATTACAAGGTTCTATGTTACAATTAATAATAAACTTCATTAAAATTAATATAGAACCTTGTAATAGTAAGCCAACGGACTATGTATATGATATTTGCAAAATCATATTATTGGCCATTTCATTTAAGATATTGCAAACATTTACAAGTAATCATGCAAGTGCTATACTGTAAGAACTTTTTTTGTAACAACTGTATAAAGTATGTTCGCGGAAACAGCTGTCGAGTTACATAAAAGTCTTTACAGACCATTACTGGGCAATCTCCATTATCTCTTTCCCATTCTATATGACATTGTGTTAAGAGAAACTAGACAAGATTGAACTGAATAATACAAATAAAGTCACAAACATCAAATGTCCATATTTCAGCTTCCCGTAGGTTCACACTAAGACCGACACACGGTCGTCTCTACTCGCTGTATCCTATAACTATTTATTGTAACATCGGTAACGAATTAAACTGACATTGTAAACATTATATACGTATTTTATTTTATCCCTTTTTAACCGACTTCCAAAAAGGAGGAGGTTTTCTTTTTAAAAATTAAGTTAAATAATTGGTTAAGCACATTTATGTTAAACATACATAATAAAACATTCTCTCACATTTACTCATATAACATATTTACACTATACACAGAAATTTTACACACTTACACTATACTTATTCGTTACAAGAACTACTCATACTTAATACTGCGTTACACATTTTGGACTATATTAATAGCTTGTTTTGATGTTTTAGTATCACTTTTTATTGCCATAAAGCTTACAATAATTCTTTTTATAAGTTCAATGAATATAGATATTCGAATGCTTACAGTTTGTAAAACTACTCGATTTTGTTTTATTTATAACCGTACGTTTCTTCATCTTATTAATATATATTTTGAAGATAAGTACAGTAACTTTGTTATAGATACTTTGAATAATTTATAAGTATAAAATTCAACATATCCCACATTAACATATCTAATGATATAGATAACACTGCTGAGATACCATGTATCTCACTGGATGATGAGACAAAATGTTTTAGTACATTATCGTTAAATAATAGCCGGAATAGTGATGTAATAATTCTAACAATCAATATACGGAGTTTAAATGCAAATTTCGATAGTCTATTAGTTTTTATTTCCAAATTAAGAATAGAAATCGACATTATTGTGTTAACAGAATGTTGGATAAACGAAAATTTCATTCCTCCAAATGTAAACAATTTTGTGTCGCACTATACAACAAAAAATATCAACCAGAATGATGGAGTGGTCGCCTACGTAAGGCAAGAATTAAATGCTACCTCCCTTGAACCTAACGTGGTTGAAGGTAATTGTTTGGTATTAAGTATCAATAATAATCTTTCGGTCATATGTACGTATCGACCACCCTCAAACTTCATTGAGTCTTTGGATGGCATTTTGAAAAGCTGTTTGACTGAAAATACTATTCTTACTGGTGATATCAATATAGATTTAATGCTCCAAGACCGCAACGATTATGCGGCAAAATATTTAAATCTATTAGCTATGTACGGCCTTAGGCAGGCGGTAACCCTTCCGACAAGAGATAATTCATGTATAGATCACTTCATGGTAAAATCGCCCCATAAATGCCAAACTATTGTTTTTAATAAGTTAACTGATCACTCGCCT